GGTCAGCAGCACACCATCCCCACCATAAACAGTGTCGGTGCTGCACTGATTGCCCTTCCTGAGACGCCGGATGGTGGACCAGAATCGCCTCAAAGCCGTGTGAAAGTCTTTCTCCATGGCCTCTCCAAACTCCTCCCACGCCCGGGTTTTTGCCTCAGCGACCACCCGAGCTGCATGCTGCTCATGTCATTCCATGCTTTAGTATAAACATAGAAGAAAGACCTCTGGCCGTAACAGTTTTTAAAAGTCAGTAATATCAGTTGTCCTTTTGTAACAGATCTAGTTGAATGCTTTTAGAGTGCATKCTTTCACTCTGAGCAGGAAATGAGTTCCATCAGTTCCTCTGCAGGATTATTAATCCAGCAGTGTTCCTAACAACAAACCCTGCTTTAGATGACTGTTTGAGTTTGGCTCTGGTCTCCTCCCACACGGTGGCGCTGCAGACCACCGGATGCTTGGCTCTGATTGGCTGAATGACTGCCTCCACCTGGTACCAGTGCTCCTGCTGCTCCATCTGCCTTTCATGACCCAGCGTGATTCATGGTTTGTTCACCGAGCAAATTAATTCACACATTCCCAGTTTCTGCTCCCTGTTTGTTCAGAACTCCTCTCCTGTTCTCACGTTTCCTGTGCCAGGGGAAGATCTCACAGATCTAACTCAAACTGTTTCACAGATAGAGAGCTCTGGAGTGGTAGTAGCTGAGAGTCGTCCTCAACACGCACTCTGAGCATAACAAGAAATATTCATCTGAAACTACAGCACTCCTTCAGGAGTGCACAGAGTTTCAGCTCAGAATGTGTAAAAGCTGAACACTTGGTGGCCATCTTGGATTTTTTAAATTTGAATATAGAATTTGACGGGCATCACTCTCAGCTCAACACACTAAATTTCAGCTTAACATCTCTAAAAACTACTATGGTGGGCAGCACTAATTTAAATACTAGCACCAACCCTAAAGCACTAACTCAGATATTTAGGTCCCCTAATTCTAAAGCACTGATATAGCAAAAGCTAATTCTAAAGCATTAAAATAACCCAGTTGACAGATGAAACCTTCTTCAGTCAACATGAGACAATATTTACTGTGTGAAGAATGTTGTCACTTAGTGACCTTGGTGGGCCAGATGTGAATCACCTGCAGGCCATGTTTGGCCCATGCACCTTGAGTTGTAGATAAGTGACACATATGAACAAATGATTGACAGCTTTCACCTTCAACTGTGAACAATAATGTTGATCAATAACATTTAAAGACCTCAGTTAGTAAATGTAGCCCATAAATTTAACAAGTGCTAATCCACTAATGAATTTAAAAGACATGTTTTATGAAATTGAGTCCACTTTGTGCTATGTTTTCATGGTATATGTTTTGTTTTTATTTATTTTGTATGTTATGTTTTTATCTGATATATTCTCTATGTTATATGTTGTTTGCATGATGTTTTGTTTCTCCTTCACCTTTTCCTTATGGGTGTCTCTGGTACCCGCCAGGCTGACATTGTTAATAAAAAGTTCTTCTTAATGTCTTGCCTGGTTTAATAAAGATTAAATAAAAACAAATAAATTAAAAATAAAAATAGCAAAAGCCCTAAAGCACTAATCAGGAAATTAGTTCCCATATTAGTGCTTTAGAGGAACTGTGCCCACCACTATAACATTTTTTAGCTTTATGTGACTAAAACTGGCTGAAATGTATCTCTTTCTCACATTAGCATTAGCACTCCTCAGGGATTGCTCTTGGCTACCAACATAACAAGTTTCAGTTCAATATTTCTAAAATACGGCCGAATTATAACTATATAAAATTAGCTTTGGTGGCCATCTTGAATTTTGTATTCAAATTTTTTTAAAGATTATCCATGGCTACTATAACATTTTTCAGCTATGTATTTAATGGCTGAATTTTAGCCCTTTGCAAAATTAGCATTAGCTGTTATTTTAAATTGGGWCTAGCAATCATTCTTGGCTTTGCCACAATAAATTTAATCTCGATAAGTCTTAAATTGGCTAAGTTATAGCAATTTAAAGTGATAGATTGAAATTTTAAATAGCGTTTAGAGTTTTGTAAAGATTGTTTTTGACTTTTCCATTTTGTTCGACTAAAAAAATGAATAATATACATGAAGGTTAGTTTGAAATTATAGCTAGCATTCAGCATGTTTTTGGATCATTCTTAGCTACTATCACATAAAACATCAGCTCAGTATGTCTTCAAACAGCTGAATTAGAGTAATTTGAAATTGGCCATCTTGATTTTTCAAATCTAGAGTTTTCTTTAAATTTATGTGCCCCTAAAAAGTATCTTTGCCCCCTTGCATAAAAGTCTACCTCCGCCCCTTCCTGACATGTTCAAATATAAAGAGAAGACAAAGAAAAAGCAGTTCAGGATGTTTCCAGTTGCATTACTTCCCTGTTTTATTGTTTCACAGCAGAAGGAACCAGCGTGGATTGTTTATAAGGCTTTTAGCGCCGCAGGAGCACGGAGGAAACCTTTAAAACCACACGTCAGCAGGCTTTACGAGACACTTGTGTGAGAAACAAGACAGAGAAGGATTTATAGGGTTGTAGATAAACGCGGGACACGAGGAGGCGGGGAGGCCGGCCACGGCTGCTCCCACGACTCCAGCAGCCCATCCTTCACYCCCAGCCACAGGATCAAATGCCAACGCCATCAATCGTCCGGCAAGCAGACGTCTGCAGCGCCGTGATGCTATTCCCCYCCTCAGGGAGCATATCAATAAAACAAAACAAGATATTGGACAGAATTGATTGCCTCCCTTCAAAGATCCTCCCTCATCATCATCACCATCATCATCATGTGTGTTTTACTTCCCCTCCTGTGTGTGAAGCCCTCATTGTGCTCAGCTAGCACCCAGCAGACAGGCTTTGTAAACCTTTAAATGAAACAATAAATCTTTAGCAGAAGCTGGTCCAGCTGCAGAGCCGAGCAGAAACACCCACACACACATCATTTTCAGCTCAGATCATCCCGCAGCTTCACCTCTTTGACCTTTCACAACCATTAAACCACTCATTTACATTTACATGTTAACTACCGGGGCCCAGCTTCTGATAGCCCCCCACCTGCACAAAGGGACACCAGAGTCCCCCCAAAGCCCTCAGGAGTCCTGCTTTTGTCTGTTGGACAGGATGAAGTAGAGAGGAGTTTATCCAGTCAGGAGGTCAAAGTGTTAACACGCCTCCAACACGGGCCAACCACACAGATACTCTGGAGCAGCTGCTGATGGACGATCATTAAGGCCGCCATCTTGGTAGGTGCTTCCTGACCAGACCAGCTCTAGACCCAACGTTGCTCCTACTTTCATGATCAAATAACCGTTATTTATTTAAATGAGTCAGATAAGAACCTGATTACAGCTGAGGCAGAGTTCTGCCAATAATCTTTAATTAATAAAAGGACCAAACCTGTGAGGACACAGTGATGACCAGCTGACCTCAGATTTTTTTTTACATTTTTATTAGTTTAATTAAAACAAACAAACAAACAAACAAACAAACAAACAAACAAACAAACAAACAAACAAACAAACAAACAAACAAACAAACAAACAAA